AGGAAAGACTGTTTATGAAGGTTTATAGGTTTTGTTTTTTCCCTGCTAAAGTATATTCACTCCAAAGTTAGAGGGCTAGGGTTATATGACAACTACTATTTTCTCATCATGAAGAAGCTTCAGGCCTGTGACATCTCCCAGCAATACCCAGCTCTAGGACTGGTGTGGCTCTGTTCATATAAATGCCTTAGGGTTACCTTGAACCTTGCTGTCATGCTCATCCTGGAGTACTGCAATGGCAATGGTATGGCTATTTTCCACCTCTAACACTGAGGCTTCATGAGTGGCTGTAATATCTTCTACCTGTTCAAATGACAACAAATGATGTTATGGATACAAAAATGTAAGTGCTATGGAGAACTCATAAGAGAAACTATCAGAAAGCTTCAGTGAGTTGGAAAATTTCAGACGACATGTATAAAGTGCAGCCATTCTTAAACATGATCAACTTTAATGATTCATTATAGAAAGTGTACTGTGATTCCCTGAATGAAGACATGTGGGCACTACTGCCTGTTCTGCTGCTCCTAGCACCTAATGGTTATAATAATGATGCAAAGAAAAGAACAGGTTGAAAACATCTTAGATGACAAGGCTGTTTATAGGACGGTCAGAAATCACAGCATTCTATTAACTGATATGTTTTTAATAAACCAAAATCTTTTCTACAATCAAACAAATTCACATTTTCAAGATGTTCTAGGTTATTGACCTGGAGTATTCTACTATAATTATTTTTATTATTAATCCTTTGAATTAACTTCAGAGGAAAAGGCCAAAGCATCATTCATATTTCTAAATAGTTATTTATAGAAAGGCTAAATATGTGACCTAGAGGCATATATAATTATTTGCAATCAGTCACTTTAGTTGAGAATTTTTTTTTATACAGTAATCATTACACGTTCCTACTTCCAACTAAAATGCTCAGATGTTTATTACTCTAATCCAAATAAGTCAATGAAACAGTTTATGGGACAGCTGGTCAGTATATATGCTCAAGCAGTTTCAAATTAGTGCTGAAATAATTGAGAAATGACAGTAACTCCAGTCAGCATCCCTCCCTGCTCTCAAACTGACCACTGAAAGAGTTCCTATGGAGGAACAGCTACTGCACAAACACAATACACAGGTATGCAAATGAAAAAAAAGAAAGCTGCACGATACACCTAACAGGATAACTTTCAATGGCCTATGCTCACAAAACACACCTGTTAGTGCTGTATCAGAAAAGTAAATCATTTGTTCGATCACATCTTTCAGCATATGTCATGACAATAAGACAAAGCAAGATTTCACATTTTTTCCTGATATATCCATAAAACCAAGGGGAGAGACTATAAAGAGAACAGGTCATTTGTGGTATTAGGCCAATTCAGTCATTCAATAGGCAAGGACATGGATACATTAAATATGGTTCAAATTGTAGCTTATTCTTTAGTTCACTGATGGATCACACATTTATTTGTTTTGTATATGATATCGGTAAAAAAGACACACACATACACAAGACCAAAGAGAATATTGCCTTATTGTCAAATCTTTTCTTAGCACCAGAGGTAAGCATAATCTAGAATATGATACAGCTATGTTTTGCAACAATTAGTGCAAAATAGCACTTATAAAAAATCTCCCAGTCAAATGCTGTGCAACCTCACCTATATATTTCCAACAACAAACAGTTATCTTCCCACTCAGAAAACATTAAATATCACAATAAGATTGCTTCTTGTGACAGCAGTAATCATGAAATTACCCGACACATGGAACTCAGGAGTCACTACTACCTTTTTCTCTCCTCCTTTACAATTTAATGCCTTCAATGTTCTTGAAAGGTGTCAAACTGACAACCTTGAAAATTAAGACTGGGAAGACTTGGACTCTGGACATATGATGAATTTATGCAACATAAAGAGCAACCTGCCTTTATGTTTGTCAAAATAAGAAAGGGACAGACATCATATAGCCCTGCTCATTTGATATTAGTGTAAATTATCCCTGGAAAAATCAGCAGTAAAAATACACAGGTTTAAATTACATTGTAGTTGTTAAATGTCCACAGCTTATCTCAGGGTAGCTGTTTGCACCTGTTTCCCTGCCACTAGTCATGAGGTACTTTATTAGGAACTTCTGCATGTGGCTAAACCAGGGAAGCTGGTCACTATCCACTCTAGATCCCAGAGTAATTGCTATCAGTGAATGAAACCAATGTAAGCTATGCCAGTGGGAAAGTGTTGTGAGCACACAACACAGCCTGCTTATTTATGGCATAGACACACCACAGACCATATCTCTGGAGAGATAAGTCTGGAGCTGGAGGAACACCTCTTTTATTAAACTCCCTGCTCATTAAAACCTTGGTCTATCGTGGTACCAATTGAAATGATGGTTTCAGTTGTTGTAGACAACTGTTCTAGAGGAAATGGACTAGGACCATCAGCTCATGTGATGCAGACTGTTGAGAAACCATTAGTGGGAATGAGGTCTGGCTTCTATTAACTCAGTGATATAATGGGGAAAAGCTCTGTATCCTATTTCCAATTTCCTGGGCCTTTTGATATCCTTTGGAGTAGTTTCTGATTACCATATATAAAGGACTACATAAGCCATTTGCTCTTCTGGACTTTGAGAGTTATAATGATCTTGTTTTCTAATCCTACATGTTCCCTCATATTATTCTGTCATATGGAGTATTAAACAATCTTATTTTTATAGTGAAATAGCTGTTAACTGTGAAAGCACTTCATTTGCACAGCTCCTTTATCTACAATTAATATTAAATTATAAAAGAAGAGCCACAGTTTTTCAGAATCAATATTGCTTCACTTTATTAAACTATTCAAAATGTCTATCTTTGCTCACAGAACAGGTGCCAAATTTCCAATAAAATTAGAAAAGGGTTGTACTTACGCTGAAAAATGTGCATTTAGCTTGGAATTTGAAATAATACAAAATCATCTTAACAATAATGTGAAAGAAACTGCCATGGTTAAGCCCTGTTAATAATGAAAAGTGGGAATCTGTTGTTGAACCGCCATATAAAGTCTGAATGAGAAGTGAACTTGTCTCATCAAGCTGGTAATGACATGTGAATGTCATCAACTCCTTCCTGGAGATATATCCTACTGGTGTACATGTCTTTCTAAGCACTACCAGGGTTTTTACTTCACTCTTGCTTAAATATTTTTCATGTCTTAATTGTTTTCTTTATGAACCACACACTACTACTACGATAATATAAAGTTTCTAAAAGTTAGAAGTGGTCAACTTCCTCTTCTGTCTTTATGAGCAAGTTATTCACAGAATCATAGTAAATTAGGGCTGGAAGGGGCCTCAGGAGGTCATCTAGTCCAACCCCCTGCTCAAAGCAGGACCAGCCCCAACTAGATCATTCCAGCCAATGACTCAGATAAGCCTTTCAGGTAGGCCAGGTGTAAGGGACTGGCGTGCAGATGGGCCGGGCTTGGAATGATCATTAGTGAGGGAGGTGGTAGGTAATTTAGAATAGGCTTTAAGGGAAGCAATATGACTGTCTTACACAAGAAAGACTATAGGGAGGCCAGCCCTAGTTAGGCTGGGCCAAAGGGGTGCTAACACCCTGGGGTGTGGGGAGAGAAAGCACCAGTAAGAATGGCTCCTCAACTGAACTGAGAGCTTATAACGCAAACAATAAGATGTGGCAGACAAGAACATGGTTCACTGGACAGGTGGGGAAGTGAGCTGTGCTTCTCTCGACAGCAGGCAATAATGTGCCCTGAAGGCCACAGTGCAGGAGTCATTGCTGGCGTGCCATAGAGTTTTTTATAGGGTGCTTTGTGATTGCTGTGCGAGAGGGCCCAGAGCAGATGTTTCTGTAGATTGTTTTGGGCAGGTAGAGGAAAGTAGGAAAAACTCAATGACTTGAGAGGCCCCTTCCATGTTCACTTTGTCTCTGGTTCCCCTTATGCTTCCAGTTTGGCTTTCACTTTGCAACTTTTCACAGGAGGTGGAGTCTCTTGCTCTGCCATCTTTTTATCTAGCTTTTCTTTTATAAAATGGATTTACCTCACATGACAGTTGTAAGGCTTATTGAATATTATGGAGAAGAGGCTCGAACTGGAGAAGTCAAGTGAGTTGTAGAATAATGTGTATGAGTGTGAGCTCCAGGGAGAAGATGGGAAACTTTTGGAAACCTACAATTCATCTCTACGCTGGATTTATTTTTTAAATCCTCTAACTTACTGTTTTTGAAACATACTGAACTGACACTCTGGAGAGTAATTCATATTTCTACAGAGTACATTGAGAGCCTTAGATGGAATAAAAGCAAAGTATTCCCTTTTTTGCACTGGTTAACATTGGTGACCTGAATCTATTTGTGGTGAGATGGATTTTTCTGACCCACTACATAGAAAGAGTCTAGAATATCCCTATTCTCAAACACCTCAAGGCTTCCAACAAGTGTAATTTTGTGTTTATGACAGACAATGATTACTGGATAATGAAGCAGAGAAGAAAGTAAATGTGGTTTCCTTTGTTATAAGACAGACTAAAAGAATGTGCAACGTGATTCATTTCCAGAGTAGGTATGTGGGTACAGAAATATATTCAGTTGCCTATTTTTAAAAGGATTTTTTCTTTCTGCTATTGCAGCTTATGAACGTGGTGAAATTCATCTCTGGAGAAGAACAACCCAGTGCAAAAAACACACATTGCTAAAATTAAACATAAGATATTAAACTGAGGGAGCTCAGTACCCTACAGGATTGGGCCACGAGCATTCATATCCAGACTAGGCAGAGAAAATGAAAATATGCTGTGGGATGGTAAATTCACTCCTCTTTCTGCCCAGATAGAGGTACTGGCCAATGAGTCCTGCCCACAGGGAGATAAAGTCCAGAGTGGCTTGGCCAGCCTCAGTTCCATTTTGTGACACTTTTTGAGGTTTCCAAATTTATATCCCACTTGTGAACGGACAAAAAACCTTCTGAATGCTTTTGCTTTTTAGATCACAAAAGCCATGTTTTCAGTGTGGGCCTCCCTCTTGCTGACCAGAGAAATGACTACAAAGCTCTGGGCCTCAGCAGCCTTCTTGTGGAATGTTTTGTGGAATGTTTTGTGAATGTTTCTCATTTAATTGGAGAAATTCTGGCTCCAATTAAATGAGATATTTTGATGAAAATATATTTTTGTCTGCAATGTTCTATAACAATCCATGCAAAACCCTCCATGAATATAATATCCTAGGCATCCCTGATAATTGTCCCTTCTGGCAGAAAGATAGAGGGAGCAAAGAAAAGGATAGAGATTCAGGGTCCAAATCATATGGATCTTTAAGATGAATAAAGACAGCAATGTATGACTTCATAGGGGCTGTTGTGGGGGTCTCCTGGCTCTTAAACTAAGCTTGCTATCCTAACAGCAGGCACAACATAGGGAGCTAAAAAGGGTTCAAGGAACAGTGCATATACTCAGATTTCCAGCTGGACATCCTTCCAGTCTAAGAGCAGACACAGAGAGCAGCCTCTCCATAACTCTAAGCTTGCTCTTCAACACTCCAGCATCACATCATAAACAACTGGTGTAAAGTACTGCTGTGTCTGTATACAGGGGGAGCATGCAGTAGAGCATAACAGCAGGGAAAAAGGGGAAGCCTGGAGAATTAGGGCCTGGAGCAAAAGGAGTGTTTGGCACAGCCTCACCTCCATTGCATGAATGGGTATTAGTGTTGCTAATTGACCTGCAGTGGTGTAACAGAGTTGGCACCTGGGGCAAACCCTGTGGGAGGGTGGAGGTAGGAGGGTGGCGCATGGTTCCAAGAATGGGGAGACCTGGTTCCAAGAGCTGTGGAGAGTGGGGGGATGCCAGGTTTCAAGAGTGGGGCTGAGGGGAGCAGCAGCCTTACCCCTGATGGGACTCCTACACAGTCCCAGCTGAGCTGCTGCTGTCTTCATGAATGCTCTGCTTATCCTGGCTGTTGCTCTTAAAGCAGCAGCAGCTGGGAATGGTTTTGGAGTTCCCGGCACGGCACTTGTGCCAGGGCCTGGCTCCATAGGGTCAGGGGTGATTCTGATCCCCTTCTAACTTGACACCCAGGCCAGGTGTCCCTCTTGCCCACCCCTAGTTATGCTACTGTCAACCTGTAACAAACTGGGATCTGAGAAAGGTAGATACGATAACAGTCAAATCCCAGTGCAACCTGTCTGACCAAAGTCAGCTTATCCTATAACCAAACAGATCGAACTGAGCAGAATCAAAGCAGCGTCCATCTCAGCAGCCCAACAAGCTCCCTGGAAATAACTGGAAACACTGAAAGAACTATCTAAAGAAAAAATATGACAAAACCCTTAAATCCCCCAGCCATAAAAACCTGCCCTACGTTACTGAACAATCTCTAATACCTGTCAGTATGCAGACATGGCAAGGCAGACAACCTTAACAAACTGAAAGGCCTCACAACACAAAAGTGGAAAAGAAATAGGTTAGCATAGATTTTAACAGATGAAAAAAAGAAGATAAAGAAACACTCTAGCTTGAGACACAAAGACCTTTTGAAAGAGACTTTTCCAACACCTATCACATATTGGAAAATCTCATTCAGCCAATAGAAGTTAAGCTGCATGGGGTAAAACAGTCCAGACGTGAACGCCTTTCTGTCACTGTTGGAAGGATTTGAAATCAACCCCGACAACAAAAGGATGCAGCAATTCAGAAAGGTTATAACCCAGAGCAGGCATTTCTAACACCTCTAAGCACTATCAAAATCTTTTACAGGAGAGAGAAAGAAAGATAACATCCTTAATGAAGACATTTAGTAGAATGAACCTGCCATCAGAGGTTATTGGTTCTTCAAATGTGGAGGAAAAAACCAACATATAATACAACTTCAGGCCCTGTGGATTTTTCCAAGCAAATATCTTGCTTTTGTCAACATCTCCTTTTTTCACAGAACAACTACAGTGGAGTGCTGCAGCTGTCTGGTGGAGCAACCCTTTGGGTGTTAGCCTCAGTTTTTCATTTTCCACTGTTTTCTTTCTCTCTGTGCCAGTTCAGTGTCAGGTCACAGCATGGTACAGCAGCCCAGCTCAAGGGCAGCCCTCTCTAGATCCTTCATAAGGAACTAAATGCTGAAAAGAAAATCTGCTTCCTCCTACTTTATACTTCTGTCCTCATCCCAGAGTCTCTAAGTGATTTACATTATATCAGGCACAGAAGGTAAATACACTGGGTATTTTCACATGTGCTCCGGGAGGTGTAGTTGCTAATTAAAAGCACCCGAGCGTCAGCGGAGGGGCACTGAACTAAATCTCATCAAACGAGCATTAGTTAAAATGCTCTGCCACTATTTTTCAGCGTGGGGATGCTGATACATGTGATGCTAGACTCTGCTGGAGCACATCTGCTGGAGCATGTGACGTTGCGCAATGCACGTCACTGTTCTTTTTCTAACTGTATCATCTGAAATAAAAATGGGCAAAATTCTGCCAGGTAGTATCTTGCTCCATATGTAGCATCATCTGAGTAAACAGGGATAAGCTACCATTTCCTGGATGTAAGCAGTGGGGACAGGACAGGACTGGGCCCAGTCATTATAAGGGGTATTTCACAGGAGAGCCATTCATAAAGCATTTTATAATGTGGGACCTCAAAGTCATGTTGTACAACTCTGAAGTATGAACTTTTCTTTAGATAAGGGAGCTAACAAACCTAGATCTATTCATTCGTGACTTGTGACTCATGTCACAGCTTGTGACTCATGTCATCATACTGGAGAAAGTCAATAAATTTAGCTGTCCTGTCACTTACACTTAATTTAAACTGATTTAGCCTCCTAATTTGAACAATTTATTGCTGACCTGTTCCTGGTGCTGACACTTGATTCTCATGAGTTGAAGCTTGTTTTCTTCTTGTAGACGTTCTAGTTCAGTGCTGTATTGTAACTGCAGCCTGTCCTCAAGGGCTTGCAGCTCTTCTTGCTGTTGCCAGTGAAGCTTCCTCACCTCATCCTCAAATCGCTTCTCCAGCTCCTCTTTCTCTTTTTGTAATTTTTCACACCGTGCTGTGTTGAGGGCTGTTGAGACAAAACAGGACAATCAACCACACCTTACCCTGTAAGCTCTGGGAGGCAGGTCTTGTCTCTTTTTTGACAGTGCCTAGTACAGTGGGTTCTTGGTTTATGCCAGGGTTTCCCAGGCACTACTGTAATATTGAATAGGAGAGTGGATTTCCTCTACTGCCTGTTGAGACACACATGCAGTACCCTGTCAAACTCATTCAGCCTACAGGAGAAATTGGGACATGGAAAGAAACTAAATGGCATAAATCTTGTTCAGAAATAAATTACTTATAGAGGAGAAGATCATGAGTTTAAAGATGCTTTTATATTACCAGGTTTGTGTGTTTCTTGAGACTAAGGAAAATACATGAAAGGGCCAAATAGAAGGCTATAACTATTAATGGGATTTCCATGCTCATCACAATTATTCTTCCATGTTAACAGAAGTAAGTAGGTGCAGAAATGACAGAGAACTCTACAAAGTTGCATCAGCTTATTTCCAGGAATTTGACTGTAAGCCTATGGATACTGAATGCAACAAAGCAAATAAAGAGATAGGGTTTTTAATTGTACTATGAATTTCCTTTCCCTAAGAGCCCTGCCATAGGCATAGCTGGTTTGGAAGAAGCATCAGCTTCTGAGTAGCATGGCTGTACTGGTCATCCATGCCGCCGCCTTCTTTCAAGTAGCACCTACCAATAACAAGATTGCTGACCCGCCTGATGGTGTAAATCTGGGCAGTGGATGCTGTGGCATCTCTGGGTCAACAAAGTTAATGCTATTTCATAAATCCACTTGTTTTATAATTCCCATATCACATTTTTGTGATTTCAACGTAAGTATTTTCATTGCTGTTTGTGCTTGTGTCTTCTCATCACTCAGTTCATCAGATCCCATTTTTCAGACTGAAGAGGCCAGGATAGCTCATGTAGAAACACCCCGCACAGATTTAAATTAGCTAGCTAGGGTACTGATAGCACAGTAGAGGTAGCAGCACAGAGCTCAAGACAGGCTAACTACTGAAGTAACTAATCCTTGGGTGAGTGCTGCAGCCTGTAGTTCCCTATCACTTCCCCCTGCAGAAGAAACACAGGAATGGCAAACTGATCCAGGAAACTATGTGTTTGCACTCCCAGGGCACGTCCAGATGAGCGTGGACACGTGGTATGCAGTGCCACAAATCCATTTGCAGTGCTGCACACACAGGTATCCCCTGTGCTTCTAATCAGCAGTGCAGGGGCGGGGGTTGACCCTGGGAGATCCCAGCGTCAAATAAACACATGCCTTAAAAAAGCGGGGTGGAGTACTTGGCAGCAGCATGCACCTCCAGAAACCAGAGTCTGGGCAGCTGGAGCCACGATATTTGGCAGCTGGAGCCACCCTCTTTCCCTGCTCCTCCTAGCTCCTGGCATGCTGGAGAAGCCAGGGACAACTAAAGGAGTGGAGACGCTCTGGCCCAGCAGCCAGGGCATCTCTCAGGAGTAGCAAGCCTCTGTGTCTGCTGACACATGCTCTTCTCAAATGTGCCACACTGCCTTTTTCACGCTGTTTTTTCCTACCAAGATTTCCTGGTAGCAAAATTTGTTTTAACATTCTGGGAGTGTGGTTGTGGCACTGCAAAGAGGTTTATGGCACCACAAACCGCAAATGCCTGCACATCTGGATGTAGCCACAGAATCCAGAGGCCCTATTTAGCTGGTGGGATAGGCACTGCCAAAGATCAGGTCCTAGGAAGATGTGGTCCAGTTTCCTGAGGACCATAGAAGTCTTTTGATTGACTTAAGTAGGGTCCAGTAAGGTGTAATAAGATTCCAGCAGCTTGGAACATCTGCACAGAAGACCTGTCCCTGTTAACTATGCTTCATGCCTGCCCTCTGTCTTTGTATGCTAATGCCCCTCTTTTGTTGGGGGATGACAATATGGAGTAGAATATGCACACATTAATGATTTCAAGGTCATCATACGTTCCACAAGAATTAACTGGCAGAATTCCCAAGGGAATGATACCCTGCAAAGAAGCTGGCTTCCCATGTCACCACTTACTCTCAGCCAGGGCCATCTCAGAAGCCAGTCCCTTAACCCTGGGTTGTTGGGTTTTTTTTTAACAGCTGACATTTCACAGGACTGGAGAGAGTGGGTGGATGCTGCTATCCTGGGTCTATTCCCTTTCCTATGACAGCTTTTAGACCACTGAAACAGAGTTCCTGCTCTTTCCAGAACCTCAGTAACACTATAGGTAGAGGGTAGATGGGACTGATGCATGTAAAATCAAAGCATCCAGTAGATGAAGCCCTATCACATATCCGGCGTGTCTACATGTGATGCCATGTTGCCATAGTGATGCACTACAGTGATGTAGTGACCACATGCACTTACATGTGACCAACAGCTATTTTGTTGTAGCAGTGCGCTCCCTCATTATAGCGCGCTGCTACATTGCTATAGCGGCTAAAAATAACCGTGCGCCCAGTGTATGGTGCAATATGGGCTACTACTATGCTGTGCTTTAGTACTTCCAAAAGGGCAGTAGCAATGTCACTATACAGGCACGTGTAGACGTGCCCATCATGTACCTGACGTAGAACATCAGCAATGTACATATTTTTTCTCTTGGGGGGTGTGTGTTATAACTTTAAATGCAGTCTCATTTGTTGTGTGGTTGTATTCTGTGACATTCCATATCAGTTTTCCATTGTTATATAAAACTATGAAGGAGCAGAAATACAAAGAGATCAAGCTTCAGGCTCTGGATTCATTATAACTGAAACCTACTCAGGCTTTAAATTGGACCTGCAATGAAACACATCTTTCAATAGATTCTCTAATAAAATTATACAACACAGAGGACCGGGCAAAAAATATATGTGTTTTGAACTAGAGGAAACTAATTCTTTAAAAAAACACCCCACACATAATACAAAAACCCAACAAAACCCCTACATACAAAGCAAGTGAAGAGGTCTGAATAGAGAACCTGCAAATTTTGCTAATGAGCCTGGATTTTGGTAATAGACACTGGGTGAGTCTACACGTGCAATTAATGTAATTTTACTGCGTGCTAATATAAGGTGCAGTAAACTGTGCCCAGGAACATGTTTACATGTGCACCCTGATGGACACAGATTTGCTTCTAACAGTAGCACATGGAGTCACTGCTCATGTGACACTAAGCTCTTATTTTTTTAAGCAGAAGAAAATTGCTATGCAACATTTTCTAAATGCTTCACCAATGTGAATTAAATGCCAGCAAAATCAGAACTTAGTGAAAGATGCTATAGAAAAAAAAAATATATAATGTGCCAAATCCTCAAATGGAGGAAATCAGTACACTAACGTTGATTTACACTAGCCGAGAGTATAATTTATATATTAGAAGCATTACATAAATACAATAAGATACAGCTTAGGTTAGACAAGCAATTCATTCAGTACAACAGGTAAGATAGTAACCATGAATATTTTAATATATAGAAGCTTCATTCTGCCCTTTAGAAGATCCTTACCTATGAACTTTAAAATATCATGTGATTCTTTTGTGTGCAATACCCACAATTCAACCAAGAGGATAATTCTTTTCTTTCTAGACCTCTTTGGGAAGCTCTGACTATATTAAGTGTTATCTGAGTTAAACTTCTTCCAAATATAATGCAGATTTAACACCTATATAAGTCTATTGGTGATTCCACATTCATCTACTTCCCTACTGTGGCATCTTGGCTTTTTAGGTTATGAAATGAATTCCTGGTCATCATTAAATGGAAGGAATTTGACCCAACAGTATTTGAGGTTCATCTGTAATTGATCTGACAGAAAGGGTGATCTGTGTAGTGACTTAGCAAGGTGTTCTTTTCCTGTGCTGAGGAGAGGTCACCTTTCTTCCCTTGTGCTTCTCTGTAAGGTGCACACACTATGCTTTTGAGGAATCAGGGGACTGGTCCCTGCTAGAGGAAGGGCTAAATAGCCAGGAGAAACTGAGTGCATCTACACATGCAATGAATGTGGCTAAATAAACTATGGCAAGTTTGTGCTGGGAGTCTATTGCTCCAGGGCTCCATATTTACACTTTTGCCCAGGACTGCAGCATGTTGAGCTGGGACAAAGCAGCCCCAGTTGGCAGTGGACCCTGGGAATCAGCCTGCCAGCCTGGGGCTGCTCTGACCTGGTTCAACTTGCTGTGGAGGGGCTGACTGGGGCATGAGGGTGCTACAGTGTAGAGCTAGCTGAAGTTAATTAGTTTGCTCCAGCCTAATAGCACCGCACGTATACATGGTGATATTTTCCTGTGGAGCTAATTAGTCAGCACCACAGTAAACGTCTCATGCAGATGCACCCACAGAATAGAGGACAGGGTGGGACCACTGGATGATTTAGTCTAGAGAGGAGAAGACTAAGGGGAGAGTCAACAACAGCCTCCAAATACAAAAAACATTGTTACACAGAGAATGATGATTTTAGTGACAGGATGAGACGTAATGGGTTTGCACTGCAGCTAGGGAGATTTAGATGAGATATTAGGAAGAGTTTTTTTAGTTAGGGTGGCAAAGCACTGGAACTGATGACTTCGGAGAAGTTGTGGAATTTCCTTCACTGGAAGTTAAGTCCAGGATGGATAAATATTTATCACAGATGGTGCAAATGGGGATGATCCTGTTCTGAGCAGGGGGAGGGATATGGAGAGATTATCTATTTCAGCCTTTGGCTTGTAAGTCAAACGTGGCCTGCAAAGCCTTGGAATCTGGCCCGTCGGATGCTCAAAAGTTTTGGAAATTTGGCAGTGGGGGACCCCTGCTGCCACTCCTCCCCGCTACCAAAATCCCAAAAGCCAGGTTAACTCCAGGCCATGCCCCTTCCCTCTGTGTGGTTGGGTTGAGACTGTGCCATACACCCTTCCCCTGTGCAGCTAGCCTGTGCTGTTTTCTTCCCCATGCCCCTCCCATCATGGGTCTACACCATGCTTCGTTCCCTCTGCCCAACTAGGTTGGGGCTGTTGGATCCCTGCACCTGTGAGACTGATT